TCTGTGTATTGTTACCCCGATGATTGCACAGTGCCCCCGGTGGTCAGTGTGAGTCTCTGTGTATTGTTACCCCGATGATTGCACAGTGCCCCCGGTGGTCAGTGTGAGTCTCTGTGTATTGTTACCCCGATGATTGCACAGTGCCCCCGGTGGTCAGTGTGAGTCTCTGTGTATTGTTACCCCGATGATTGCACAGTGCCCCCGGTGGTCAGTGTGAGTCTCTGTGTATTGTTACCCCGATGATTGCACAGTGCCCCCGGTGGTCAGTGTGACTCTCTTTGTACTGTTACCCCGATGATTGCACAGTGCCCCCGTTGGTCATCCTTTGCTGTACCTGCAGTGACGCCCCTCTGGATTTGAAGGTGAAGGCCTCCATGATCTCAGACATGCTGACACTGGTTGGTGAGTACAATACGGGGCATTTATTGTCTATGACGGTGTGGTGGGGGAGGGGTTCTTGTGGGTGTCATGGGTAACAGTGTGGATTGTACAGGTCTGGAGTGCCAGGACCCCCTGCAGAGGCCGGGCCGCGGAGGAGTCATGCTGTATGACAAGCGAGTCCACAAAGCTCAGGTGAGAGCCATGGGGGATGAATAACCCCAACCTGTCCCATGGCACCATACCTCATATAACGGGCAATGATTGTCTTCCCAGAGACAGCGCCCCCTATCTGCCAGTGACATTGACATGAGGCTGCCGGCTGGGAGCAGAGACAAGAATCGCACAAGCGGCACCCTGGGGCTTTCCACTGAAGAGGTCAGCCTACCTGTCTATACCCGCCTGTCACTCTTCACGTGCCTGTCTCTTTAAATCTGCCCCCTGTGTACAGTGCGGGGGACGTGGTCCTGAGCGCCGTGTGAATGTTCTGTGTTTCCAGGTCAGAATGCTGCACAGAGTTCAGGAAGAAGCATCCAGGAGGGGGGGCTTTGTTCGTATTCTCCCCAGACACGACACATGGGCACTTTATGGGTGAGTGTGATAGTATAATACGTATGCTTACATGTCACCCTGACCGCCGCGTGTCTTATTACATTCTCCTATTCATGCAGCTCATTCCTGGAACATAAAACGTCTATGAACTCCATGCTGGCCACTCACCTCTTCCCAGAAAGGTAAGTGCAAGCCAGCCCCCCTCCCCCCCCATAGACATTCATAGTGTGACTGCCTGCCGCTGTACATTCCCCTGTCCTTCCCATAGACATGCATGGTGTGACTGCCTGCCGTTGTCCTTCCCATAGACATGCATGGTGTGACTGCCTGCCCCCGTCCTTCCCATAGACATGCATGGTGTGACTCCCCGCCCCCGTCCTTCCCATAGACATGCATGGTGTGACTCCCCGCCCCCGTCCTTCCCATAGACATGCATGGTGTGACTCCCCGCCCCCGTCCTTCCCATAGACATGCATGGTGTGACTCCCCGCCCCCGTCCTTCCCATAGACATGCATGGTGTGACTCCCCGCCCCCGTCCTTCCCATAGACATGCATGGTGTGACTCCCCGCCCCCGTCCTTCCCATAGACATGCATGGTGTGACTCCCCGCCCCCGTCCTTCCCATAGACATGCATGGTGTGACTCCCCGCCCCCGTCCTTCCCATAGACATGCATGGTGTGACTCCCCGCCCCCGTCCTTCCCATAGACATGCATGGTGTGACTCCCCGCCCCCGTCCTTCCCATAGACATGCATGGTGTGACTCCCCGCCCCCGTCCTTCCCATAGACATGCATGGTGTGACTCCCCGCCCCCGTCCTTCCCATAGACATGCATGGTGTGACTCCCCGCCCCCGTCCTTCCCATAGACATGCATGGTGTGACTCCCCGCCCCCGTCCTTCCCATAGACATGCATGGTGTGACTCCCCGCCCCCGTCCTTCCCATAGACATGCATGGTGTGACTCCCCGCCCCCGTCCTTCCCATAGACATGCATGGTGTGACTCCCCGCCCCCGTCCTTCCCATAGACATGCATGGTGTGACTCCCCGCCCCCGTCCTTCCCATAGACATGCATGGTGTGACTCCCCGCCCCCGTCCTTCCCATAGACATGCATGGTGTGACTCCCCGCCCCCGTCCTTCCCATAGACATGCATGGTGTGACTCCCCGCCCCCGTCCTTCCCATAGACATGCATGGTGTGACTCCCCGCCCCCGTCCTTCCCATAGACATGCATGGTGTGACTCCCCGCCCCCGTCCTTCCCATAGACATGCATGGTGTGACTCCCCGCCCCCGTCCTTCCCATAGACATGCATGGTGTGACTCCCCGCCCCCGTCCTTCCCATAGACATGCATGGTGTGACTCCCCGCCCCCGTCCTTCCCATAGACATGCATGGTGTGACTCCCCGCCCCCGTCCTTCCCATAGACATGCATGGTGTGACTCCCCGCCCCCGTCCTTCCCATAGACATGCATGGTGTGACTCCCCGCCCCCGTCCTTCCCATAGACATGCATGGTGTGACTCCCCGCCCCCGTCCTTCCCATAGACATGCATGGTGTGACTCCCCGCCCCCGTCCTTCCCATAGACATGCATGGTGTGACTCCCCGCCCCCGTCCTTCCCATAGACATGCATGGTGTGACTCCCCGCCCCCGTCCTTCCCATAGACATGCATGGTGTGACTCCCCGCCCCCGTCCTTCCCATAGACATGCATGGTGTGACTCCCCGCCCCCGTCCTTCCCATAGACATGCATGGTGTGACTCCCCGCCCCCGTCCTTCCCATAGACATGCATGGTGTGACTCCCCGCCCCCGTCCTTCCCATAGACATGCATGGTGTGACTCCCCGCCCCCGTCCTTCCCATAGACATGCATGGTGTGACTCCCCGCCCCCGTCCTTCCCATAGACATGCATGGTGTGACTCCCCGCCCCCGTCCTTCCCATAGACATGCATGGTGTGACTCCCCGCCCCCGTCCTTCCCATAGACATGCATGGTGTGACTCCCCGCCCCCGTCCTTCCCATAGACATGCATGGTGTGACTCCCCGCCCCCGTCCTTCCCATAGACATGCATGGTGTGACTCCCCGCCCCCGTCCTTCCCATAGACATGCATGGTGTGACTCCCCGCCCCCGCCCTTCCCATAGACATGCATGGTGTGACTCTCTCCTACAGGATGGTGATGAATCCCGGCTGTGACATCAGACCTAAGCTGCATGCTCACTTGTATGAGCGCAAATTGCTGTCACTGCAGATGCGCAAGGCCCGCAAACGAGGATCAGTCCGCTACGCAGGTAGGTGGAGGCGCTGTTACGCTGCTCTGCACACAAGGGGCCCCGTTTTATTTTCATTAGATTAATTTTGCACATGTGCACTTTTCTTATAATTAACTGCAGCGCACTCTATTGTATGTATCCATGGAGATTATGTATCACAGGCTCCTCCCCTGCAGTTCTTATTGAGATCCGGTATCACAGGCCCCTCTCCTGCAGTTCTTAGTGAGATTAGGTATCACAGGCTCCTCCCCTGCAGTTCTTATTGAGATTAGGTATCGCAAGCTCCTCCCCTGCAGTTCTTATTGAGATCCGGTATCACAGGCTCCTCCCCTGCAGTTCTTATTGAGATTAGGTATCACAGGCTCCTCCCCTGCAGTTCTTAGTGAGATTAGGTATCACAGGCTCCTCCCTTTGCAGTTCTTATTGAGATCAGGTATCACAAGCTCCTCCCCTGTAGTTCTTATTGCGATTATGTATCACAAGCCCCTCCCCTGCAGTTCCTATTGAGATCAGTTATCACAAGCTCCTCCCCTGCAGTTCTCTTTGAGATTAGGTATCACAGGCTCCTCCCCTGCAGTTCTTAGTGAGATTATGTATCACAGGCTCCTCCCTTTGCAGTTCTTATTGAGATTAGGTATCACAGGCTCCTCCCCTGCAGTTCTTAGTGAGATTAGATATCACAGGCTCCTCCCTTTGCTATTCTTATTGAGATCAGGTATCACAAGCTCCTCCCCTGTAGTTCTTATTGCGATTAGGTATCACAAGCTCCTCCCCTGCAGTTCTTATTGCGATTAGGTATTGCAAGCTCCTCCCCTGCAGTTCTTAATGTGATTAGGTATTGCAAGCTCCTCCCCTGCAGTTCTTAATGCGATTAGGTATTGCAAGCTCCTCCCCTGCAGTTCTTATTGCGATTAGGTATCACAGGCTCCTCCCCTGCAGTTCTTATTGCGATTAGGTATCACAAGCTCCTCCCCTGCAGTTCTTATTGAGATTAGGTATCACAGGCCCCTCCCCTGCACTTCTTATTGAGATTAGGTATCACAGGCCCCTCCCCTGCACTTCTTATTGAGATTAGGTATCACAGGCCCCTCCCCTGCACTTCCTTTTGAGATTAGGTATCACAAGCTCCTCCCCTGCAGTTCTTATTGAGATTAGGTATCGCAGGCTCCTCCCCCCCATGTCCTGGAGTCACTGTGTATTGCATGGTGCTCTTGTATCTATAGCAGGGCTGTCTCCCCCCCCGGAGAGCTCCTCATCTGAGCAGGAAGAGGAGGGGGAATCTGAGGAGGAAGAGTTGGAAGAGATGCCGGATCCTCCATCCCTGGAGCCGCAGACATTGCCTCCCCCCCCTCCTCGTGCCAGCAT